GTATTTATTAAGTCTTAAAATTATGTATTTTGGGTTGTAAATCGCTATCCCGTATCTTGAGGTTTTTGAAACTAAAATTTATTTAATGAAGGTTGGTAAGTGTTTGTTTTGTAATCGTGGTGTTACATCAAGCCTAATTTAACAAACAATAAACATAACCAACGAAGTTAATTTAATCTAGAATACGTACAATTTTAAACATACAATCAACATGAGCAAACACACATTTTCTAATTTTAAACATGAGTAAGACTGTTTTAAACAGTTTTAAACATACATACAATTTTAAACATACATTTTACAAACACATTTTACAAACTTACAAACAGAAACCCTTTTACAAACACATTTTACAAACTTACAGAGACCCTTTTACAAACACATTTTACGCATTTTACAAACACATTTCTAATCTTAAATTTGTTTTACAAATCTAGCTCTACATTTTACAAACTTACAGACCCTTCCTGTTGCCATTTTACAAACAAATAACATAATTTCAATTTAAAACAGAAGATATGGTGGTCGTAAACTTACAGACCCTTTCTGTTGTCAATCTGGTCGGAACAGAGACGGCGACGGTGAAGACGTTGAGGACGGCGGTGGTCGACGACGGCGCAGCTGTGGTGGTCGCAAAGGGGACAGCGGTGGTCGGCGATGGTCGGCGACAGTGAAGACCGTGAGGACGGCGGTGGTCGGCGACGGTGAAGACAGTGAGGACGGCGGTGGTCGGCGATGGTGAAGACGGTGAGGACGGCGGTGGTCGGTATCTCTCTCTCTCTCTCTCGATATCTCTCTCTCTCTCTCGGTCTAGCCGGTTAGTAATTGATAAAGATGATCAACATAAATGAAAAAGAGGGAGGCTTAACCTAGTATTTGATAAAGATAATCAGCGACGGAATCAATCCTTCTCAAAAAAATTACTTTTAATTAATTAGATTTTATTATTTAATTACTTAAGCCGGTTAGTAATTAGGTTTTTATTATTTAATTAATTAAATTACTTTTTTAATTAATAACTATAAATTTAATTAATCATTAAATTATTAAATTATGAAACCGAATAAATCACATTAAGGCCCAATAAAACCTAATAAAGTCCATTAAAGCCCAACCTTGACCGAATAAAGCCCATTAGGCCCAATAAAACAGAATAAATCCCAATAAGACCCAATAACATCGAATGAAGACCATTAAGGCCCAATAAAACCGAATCAAGCCCATCAAGGCCCAATGAAACCGTATCAAGCTCATAAAAATGAGAAAATGGGAAAAATAGGAAAATTCCTCGCTGATCCCTCGCAGATCAGCGAGGGAATATGATTTTTGCCAATTCCCTCGCTGATCTCTCGCTGATCTGCGAGGGATCAGCGAGGGAATTGGCAAAAAGCATTTTTCCTCGCAGATCAACGAGGGATCAGCGAGAGAATTTGCAAAAATCATATTCCCTCGCTGATCTGTGAGGGATCAGCGAGGGAATTGAAAAAAAACATTTCCCTCGCTGATCCCTTGCAGATCAGCGAGGGATCAACGAGAGAATTGTCCTATTTTCTTATTTTTCTTTTTTTTATCGGGGCTTAACCCATTTAACTGGGCTTTGTTCGGTTTTATTGGACCTTAATCTATTTACCGAGATATATTGAGTTTATCGGGCTTTAATGAACTTTATTCAGTTTTATTTGACATTGTTCGGTTTAATGGCCCTTTATGGGCTTTATTCGATTTTATTTGGCCCAAATAAAACCCATTAAGGCCCAACCAAACCGAATAAAACCCATTAAAACTCAAATAGAACCGAATAAAGTCCATTAAGGCCCAATAAAACTGAATAAAGCCCATTAAGGCCCAATAAAACCGAATAAATCTCATTAAGGCCCAATAAAATTGAATAAATCTCATTAAGGTCCAATAAACCGAATAAATCTCATTAAGGCCCAATAAAATTGAATAAAKCCCATTAAGGCCCAATAAACCGAATAAATCTCATTAAGGCCCAATAAAATCGAATAAAGTTCCTTAAGGCCCAATAAAGCCTAATAAAACCGACTCGACGAGTATATAAACATCAATCCAAT